TTCATAGCAGCTATTACTGAATGTTTTCCCTTATCTCAGTCCTTACATTAGATCTTTGAATCTTCCCAGCAATTTCATGTGGGATGTAATGTCCCCATTTTTACAGAGTTTGAGGCTCAGAGAGGTTCAGTAGCTAATCTGACTTTGTACACCTAGAAAGTGGCATGATCAGAACTAGAATCTGTTTTTCTGCAAGTCTATAATCTGATATTTCCACGTTAAGATGAGACAGAAAAAAAAATTAGAAATAGGGATTTAACTAGGGCAAATGGGGCATCAGTTATAGGGGGAGAAGAATCTGTTGTGATCTTTGAGTTTGGTAAACTCAAAGGGATTTCACTTTAACGTGCTTTTCTTTGGTTTTCTTCCTCTTCTCCTTCTTCTCCTTCCTCCTCTTTCTTCTCCACCGCCCCCTCTCCCCCAACCCCTTCCTTCTTCTTTGTTTTTGACTCTAAGGGACTGATGAAGCCAGGGTCAATGTAGGGCCAAGAAATTGGGACCTGGCTATTTAGACTTGATTCTAAGAAAGAAAAGTGGGCATAGAGATACCTGTTCTTAGAAGCCTGGCTCAGTTCATGAAATAGGAAGGTAGAGGTTTAAGGCAGATGCTTTAACCAAGGAAAAAAATGTTCATTTGAGCACAGATTCCCTCATGATATACCACTGGATAAACTGATTATGGTGGATAAGATATGGTAGACAAAACAGAGGTTTCATAAATGTCTGCGGAATCTGGGAGATAGTCCCCAAAACCTTTTTTAGGAAAAGCCACCTGTCTGTGAAAATAAAACTTTTTAAAAATTTTTTTAAAGATTTTATTTATTTGAGAGAGAGAAAGAGAGAGAGCACAAGCAGGGCCAGGGGCAGAGGGAGAAACAGACTCCCCACTGAGCGGGGAGTCAGACATGGGGCTTGGTCCCAGGATGCTGGGATCATGACCTGAGCTGAAGGCAGACACTTAACTGACTGAGCCACCCAGGTGCCTCAAAACTATTTTTATAATAATAATGTTTTGCCTTTTCACTCTGTTGACATTTGCACTGATGGTACCAAAGCAATGGTGGGTAATGTTGGTGCCTCAGCATGAACAAAGGCAATGATGCCAAATTATTCTAGAAGTCATTGTACTCTTTACCACCACACATTTAAAACTGTTTAAATGCCAGTTTAACTCAATAATGTTCTCCATGAAGCAGGAAAATTAATTTTGTTAAATTTTAAATTAATGTCTCGTAATATTCTGTCATAAAATGAGAAGTATACACACTGAGGTATGATGATTGTCTCAAAAAAAAGCACTTGTGTGATTGTCACAAAACATCATTCTTACTTGGAACAAAGACTTGACAAACTATGGTTATTCAAAGTTGGGTATCTGGAAGACACTTTCCTGAAAACGAACAGGGTGCAACTGGCACTTCAGGAAAAACACTTGGCAATGTCTGTTTCCAATAATAAAATTGGAGTTTTCAAGCAAAAATTAGAATTTGGAAAACTTGCATCCTCCCTCTGAGCTTAACAATTTCCCGATACTTAAGAACACTTTTTTTTTTAAAGATTTTTTATTTTATTATTTGACACAGAGACAGAGATAGTGAGAGAGAGAGCACAAGTAGGCAGAGCGGCAGGCAGAGGGAAAGGGAGAAGCAGGCTTCCCGCGGAGCAAGGAGCCCACAAGGATGTGGGGCTCGATCCCAGGACCCTGGGATCATGACCTGAGCTGAAGGCAGTCACTTAACCAACTGAGCCCCCCAGGCACCCCTAAAAATACTTTTCTAATGAGATCCGTGGTGATATTAGCTAATACGATTTTCTGATTTGTATGATAAAGTGTGTCAGCATTTAGAAGACCTGTGTAATTTAGTGGATTCATAGTTTTCCAAAAAACCAATATGTGATATTACAAAATCATGTGTGGGTAAAATTTCCATTTAAAATACAAGATATGCCAACAGATTTTAATGTAACAGTATATTTAAAGCTTGCTGATGGAGTTTCACATTCCACAGTGTGCCAAACCCTTAAAAAACTACCACTTATTGAGTTTTGTTGTCGCATCAAAGAAGGATAGCCACATTATCTGCAAAGGCTATTAAAATGCTCTTCCTTTTCCAATTACGTATCTGTGCGAGTCCAGATTTTCTTCAAATACTTCAACCAAAACAATTGCAAAAGATAAAATGCAGAAGCAGATATAAGAATCCAGCCGTCTTTTCCCAACCTATACATTAGAGGTTTTTAAAAATGTAAATCTATGCCACTCATTCTCACTAATTTTTTTAATTTTTTAAAAAATGTAACAAAAAATTTTTTTAAAGATTTTATTTACTTAAGTAATCTCTATATCCAACGTGGGGCTCAAATTCACAACCCTGAGATCAAGAGTCACATGCTCCACCAACTGAGCCAGCCAGGTGCCCTCTCACTAATTTTTTTATATTAGAAATATACTTGTTTTTCATTAAAAAATGTTTATTTTAACACAAATGGGTTTATTCTTATATTTTTTAATGAGTAAGTATTTTAATTTTTTTCCTCAGATTTAGTTTTAATACTGTAAATATGAATTTAATACAGAATAGTAGTACACAAAAATTCTTTGGAGCTGTCAACAATTTTTAAGAGGATAAAGGTGTCATGAGATCAGTTTGAAAACTGCCGAGGGAGTCCCGAGGTGAGGTCCTTAAAAGGAAGAAGAGAAAGAAGTCTCTGCTTTGTATAGCAGGCACTCAACAGTTGAGTATAACGATGATAAAGACAGGCAAAACCAGTATGACTAACACTAGAAGGCAGGAAGTGAAAAGTGCTAAATGAGTGGTCTAGATCTGTGCTAATAGGGTAGCCACCAGCCACATGAGGCTATTAAACTCTTGAAATGTGGCTAGTCCAAATGGAGATTTCCTGAAAGTGCTAATTACACTCCAGACTTCAGAGATTTGGTATGAAATAAGGAATGCAAAGCATCTCATTAAAAATTTTTATATTGATTATATGCTGACATGTTAATATTCTGTATTATTGGATTATTCATAGCATTGAAATTAATTTTGCCTGTTCCTTTTACCTTTTTTAATGTGGCTACTAGAAAATTTAAGCATGTGGCTTGCATTTTATTTTTCTTGGACAGCACTCATTTGGATGGGAAGTGTGATGAGAATTCAGAGCAGGAAAAAGTTGCTGTGGGTTGGAGTCATCAGTGAAATCTTCACCAAGGATAAGGATTTCAAAAAAATTAAAAAAGACAAACCAAAAAACAGACTCTTAACTATAGAGAACAAACAGAGGGTTACCAGAGGGGAGGTGGGTGGGGAGATGGGTGAAATAGAGGAAGGGGATTAAGAATACACTTATCTTAATGAGCACTGAGTAACATATGGACTTGTTGTCTTGTTGAATCACTATATTGTACATCTGAAACTAATGTAACGCTGTATGTTAACTACACTGGAATTAAAATTAACTTAAATTTAGAAACAAGAGGGATAGGATTTCAGTAAGTAGACAGATGGGGGGAGGAAGCTGCAGTTGAAGGGAGCATCAATACTGAAATAGGAGAGTTCATCTAGGGAGCAGAACAGATTGGTCTGCCTCAGATCTTGGGCTCCTGGGTAAGGAGTGTGTGTATGTGTGTGGAGGGGGGGATGAGGGGAGATTCCAGGATAGGTTGGGGCCAGATTGTACAGAATTTTGAGTGCCAAGAATTTGTGGACTTTTTCAGGACAGATTGCTTCCCCAGAGAAAACCAGACTCTGCCCAATAGCTTATGGGATAACCCAAATTAGGCATTTTCTTCAGGTGGAGACAGAGTAGCAGAAGCTTCTGGAAACTGCCCAGTGAGCAAGCAGCCAAGACTAGGCCTGCCTGACCAGGGAATAGAGTGATGCGGAGTGTGACTCTGGAGTGGACCGACTTATTTTTGTGTGTGCGGGAGGGACAGGGGTGGTGAATTTAAGCACGTGATTGTGCTAATAATGTCAGGAGGGAGAGGGAACCCCGGGTAAGTGTACCCGCTTGATGACTGATCTGAGAGTGGGAAAGCAGACCTTTACCTTAGTGTATTGCTGAAGACTCATGCATAAACAAATTGAGTCATTCTTTCTGCCTCATTCAGTCTATCTTCCTTTATTTTTATCTTTATTTTCCTGAATATTTAGTAGAACTTGTGTGTCGAGGGTTAACATCTAGCTTGGAAGAGATGAAGTCAAAAACCACCAGGGAGGGTGTGCAAATCCCTGGCCTCTTATCCAGGGTCAGAAGCTAACTCATTGAGTAACTCCGGTCACTTCTCTGGGCCTCAGTCTCTTCAGATACAAAAGAGGCATTAGAATCAGATGAGACCAAGGCTCCCTCCAGCTCTGTGATTCTAGAATAGGCCCATGTCACAAAGGGCGAAAAGCATCCCATAGCAACCAGGTACAGGGCTACTGGGCAGGTGGGAAGGAGGATGCTGGGCTAGTAAGGGCAGGCGTGAGTAGCCCGCACAGGAGCTGGCCCGAACCTTTGGGTGAGACTGTCCTCCTCCTAGTGAGCAGACCCTGCTGGAATTGGAGCACAGTGAGATCTAAGAGTTTGAGATCTAAGATCTATTTTGGTCCTGGCACCCCTATCCCTCCCAGGGGCTGGCTCACCAGGGTGAGTGGAGCCTGAAAGGAGGAAGCCAGGAATTTACCTCTAGGCAAGTAAAAAGACTTACTTGGGGGGCGGAGAGGGGGGTGGGGGTTGTCTCAGATTATCTGGGAAACCACTGAAGAAAAGTGTGTGTAGCCCCCACCTACCCACCCACCTCCTGACGCCCCTGGGCCCCCCGCAGTTACAGGAGTGATTGGTGGGGATGAGGAGAGGGCGCCCTGCAAAGGGGCTTCGGCCTGATTGTCTCTGCTCTTTAGCATTTCTAGAATAGAGAGTGGGTGGGACCCGACTCAAGTAAAGTCCCAGAGACGCTAACACTGACGCACAGGAAAGCCTCAAGTGGGAGGAGAGATGCAAATCCCCTACTGACAATGGCGTCAGCGGCTTTGTCCTGGGGACTGTGAAGGGCGATTCTGACTCTGGACTTGACACCAACCTGGGACCTGGGCTGAGAGAGCCAGGTAAGTAGGCAGAGTACACCTTCGTGTTGCTTCTCCGGAGGAGCACGGGCCAGGAAGTACTTATGCAGGATGCGGCTGAGGCTGTGCTCTTCACTCGGTGCTATGACAGTCGCTTCACTTTAGCTGGTGTGAGGATGAGTGATTCGACACAGCGTCCGACTTCATGATCCAGAGACGCGCTCGGGCGCAGGTCTCTCGGTGAGACTCGGGGGCTCAGCCCCCGCATCTGCCGGGTGGGAGGGACACTTGTGGCTGATGCGGAGGTGTGTCCTCGGGAAGTGCTGAAAGTGAGCCCCTCTTCACTTTCTTAGCTTCTCTGAGCTACAGTGCCTGACTTTAGATTGAGTACCTGGCTTTCAGAAACAAGTCCGGAGCCGGGGTAGCCAGTGGCTGTGGCTTTGATGAGAGGGAGTGGTATTTTAGGGCATATCATCTCCATTGCAAGCTGCGTGTCCCAGAGCCAGCGTGGCACTCTCAGCTCCCAGACAGCGTGACAAAATGCCCCTTTATTTAGGGGCATTATATTAGGACATTCAAAGAGAATAGACAGGCACTCAATTTTCAGAAGAAATATTCCATAGTTTTCTTGTGATGGGAGAATGAGCCCTTAGAGAGTGAGAGCCAGGAAGGGAGCTAAGGATGACTAAAGGCATTTCTAGAGGCTTCAACAGAGAAGAGGGTCCTTGGACTATACACCTTATCCTTCCCATCTTCAGCCTTAAGTTCAGCTCTCTGGAAGGTGGACCCAGGTCCTAGGAGTAATTTATCTAACTTTGGGACAAGTTAAGCCCAGTTAATTCTTAATTAGAAAACAGATTTTCACCCAAATCATAGCAAGGATTTAAGAAAAGTAGTAATGACGATCGTAATGGCATTTTCAGCTCATGTTCTCTCACCGTTATCTAGAATAAGTTGACAGGGATAAAGCAGGACAATGTCATTATAGCATGGGAACAAATGTTCCAAGTCTGTGATATATATATCTATATATATCTCCAGCATCTGCAAAGACAACTGTGTCTGGTTTCAGGAGACCTCAGATCGGTCCTTAGGAGCTGTGCATCTTAGATAGGAGTCATTTTGCTTACTTGTCCCTCAGATTTTTTTTTTTTTTCATTTTTAAAGTTGAAGTAAATCTTACTCTCCACCTGCCCTATTCACAACCACATCAGAATTGCCACTCATTTAACAAGCACTTACTGAGACACTCACAATATACCTAGAATGGTGCGTGTAAAGGTCTTCAAGATATTAAGTGATATGAAAATAAAACATTATTTCTTTTCCTGGTTCCCTTCTTTTAGCAAAACATCCCTCTATTGATTTAGATCAGGGAAAAGGTGCCCCAGAATGGTTCCATTTGAAAACTGAGGAATCCATATATGAAATATATGAAATCTGTTATCATGACCTTCTGTAGGCAAAAGGAAATCTTAACTTACCTACAAGATAGGCTGAGATATTATGGTGATTAATCATGTAAAAGTTTTGTTCCTTTATCTAAAATTGCTGATAAAACTCTCAGAACTTTGACTTTGGAAAAAGTAAAATACTGTAACTTCAAGATGTCGTATTGATCTCCCTGAGTTAGGCAATGTTTAAAGCTTCTAAACTGGTGAGAATAGGATAACATGGGGGAAACACATACTTTTGTTTTGTGAGAGGCTGCCAAATACATATCTAGTGTGGTTTCTTCCTCAATTAACCTGAGGGTTTAACCACTGTCAGTTGCATACCAGAGACTAATTAAAAGTTGACTTTAAAAGCTCTGCCCAGTCATAGTGGATCATCATACGGAGAAATATAAATATGTATTGATTCAGAGATATTTTGAACTGAAAGAATTAGAGCCCACAAAAATGCATACATGAAACTCTTCATAAAGCTAAGACCAAATTTTTTTTTTTTTAAAGATTTTATTTATTTATTTGAGAGAGAGCACATGAGAGGGGGGAGGGTCAGAGGGAGAAGCAGACTCCCTGCTGAGCAGGGAGCCCGATGCGGGACTCGATCCCAGGACTCCAGGATCATGACCTGAGCCAAAGGCAGTCGCTTAACCAACTGAGCCAAGCTAAGACCCCAAGCTAAGACCAAATTTGACCAGAGGTCTAGGAATATAAGTATGACTCTGGAAGCCAGACAAATCTGAAATAAAGAAAAAAGGATTGGGCAGTTTGACATACAAGAAGCTTTTATTGGGTGCTCCTCATACAGAAAGTCTAAAGAGGTCTGAGAAGGTGCAGTTGAGTATGTTTGCCTTAGGTTGCTCAAAGTCAAGAGTGCAGATGGAGCAAGGGATAGGAAAGGAATTTGTTGAGAACACAGATTTGTGTGATAGATTGGAGCTGTTGAGGGGGAGTGAAAGCTTTCTGGAGAAAGTTCCAGAGTTCCTATTAGAGCAAAGCAGGACATGGTTTGGGGATAGAGAACTCTTTTTTCTTTATAAGGGATGACTTAGGAAAAAGCTCAGAATTTTTATCTTTGGATTGAAAGCATTTCTCTTTACTGTTTTCTTATATAAGGTGACTATAAAAGAAAAATTTTTTCAGTTACTTAACTAATGGAAAACATTGTCTTTGAAACCTAAGAGAGGGGTGTGGCTCAGTCAGTTAAGTGTCTGCCTTCAGCTCAGGTCATGATCCCAAGGTCCTGGGATCAAGCCCCACATCAGGCTCCCCGCTCAGCGGGAAATCTGCTTCTCCCTCTTCCTCTGCCTCTTTCCTGCTTGTGCTCACTTGTGCTCTCTCTCTCGCTCTTGCTCACTCTCTCTCAAATAAATAAATAAATTAATTAAATTAAAAAAAAATCTAAGGGAAAAAAACATGTACCACAGTTATTAACATTATTTTTTTTTTAAAGATTTTATTTATTTATTTGAGACAGAGAGAATGAGAGACAGAGAGCATGAGAGGGAGGAGGGTCAGAGGGAGAAGCAGACTCCCTGCCGAGCAGGGAGCCCGATGCGGGACTCGATCCCGGGACTCCAGGATCATGACCTGAGCCGAAGGCAGTCGCTTAACCAACTGAGCCACCCAGGCGCCCCAACATTATTTTTAAACTCTAATTTTACCTCTTCATTTATAGCATGTCTCAGTGGAATCAAGTCCAACAATTAGAAATCAAATTTTTGGAGCAAGTAGATCAATTCTACGATGACAACTTTCCTATGGAAATTCGACATCTGTTGGCTCAGTGGATTGAAAATCAAGACTGGTAGGATCAAACATTATTGTATTTTCCCTAGAGGTTGATGTACAAATGCGTTATGCTCTATCCCTGTGGATTTATTCTGTGATCTGCTTTTGACTGAGTAGGTGACTTCTTGCAGATAAAGAATTTTCTTCAAGGATTTGGAAAGCTTCTTCGAAGGAAGAGAATCATTGTTCTTTCTGGTTGTAGATGAAAACTTAAGGCTTCTAGTGCCTTGGTTTTTTTGTAAGCCCAAATCCCAGTAATTTCTAAATATTAAAAAGCCAAGAAGTAAACCTGTTGTTTATCTCAATTTTCAGTTTACAGATGCAGTGTAAATAATTATTTTTTCTTATTATGTTTTATAATCATTCTTTAAAGCTCTGTTTATCATGCACAATAATTTTTTTGCTTTGAATAATCCTCTAACTTTTTATTGTGATAAAATATATGTAACATAACATATGCCATTTTAACCATTTGTAGATATATGGTTTAGTGGCATCAAGTATATTTACACTGCTGTGCAATCACCACTGTCCATCTCCAGAATTTTTTCATCTTCCCATAATGAAACTCTGTCCTCATTAACCAGTAGCTCTTCACTCTCTGTACCCCAGACCTGGCAACCACCATTCTATTTTCTGTCTCTCTGAATATGACTCTAGGTACTTCATGTAAATGGAATCACACAGTATTTGTGCTTTTGCGGCTGATGTATTTCCCTTACCATATTTTTTTCAAGGTTCATTCATGTAGCATGTATCAGAATTTCCTTCTCTTTTTAAGGCTGAATGATATTCTATTGTAGATGTGTGCCACATTTTGTTTATTCATCTGCCAGTTAACACTGGAGTTGTGTCTACCTTTTGGTTATTGTGAACAAAGCTAATATGAACATTGATGTACAAATATCCATTCAAGGTCCTGCTTTCAATTCTTTTGAGTATCTACCCAGAAGTGGAATTGCTGTGTGTAATTCTCTGCTTATATTTTGAAAAATCTCCATCCTGTTTTCCACAGCGGCTGTACCATTTTCCATTCCCACCAGCAGTGCACAAGGGTCCCAGTCTCTCCATACCCTCACCAACACTTATTATTTGGGGTTTTCAGTAATAGCCATCCTAATAGGTATGAAGTGGTAGCTCATGTTTTGATTTGCATTTCCCTAATGATTAGCATCTACTCTGATGTGTACAGTTTAATTTGTAAAAGCCTTTAAATGCTTGTCACTGTGGAATAGATTGATCTCTTTTAAAATTAGTATGGTAAAAAAGTAGACACTCTACTAAGTTGTTTCCTGCTATGTAATAACAGTTTTGTTTTTTAGGGAGGCGGCTTCCAACAATGAAACCATGGCAACAATTCTTCTTCAAAACTTGTTAATACAACTGGATGAACAGTTAGGTCGTGTTTCCAAAGAGAAAAACCTGCTCTTGATACATAATCTAAAAAGAATCAGGAAAGTCCTTCAGGTGAGAATGCATTCTACTTTTTCAAAAATGTTTGGATTTATGTGTCTTAAATTCAGCGAAAAAATCAAATCTGTACCCTTAATATTATTTTCAGTTCAGATTTAAGAAGGGAAATTTGAATTCTCTTATCATTTTAAATTTTATGCTCTATTTTATTTTATTAATGTTTGTTTTTCGTGAAATTTTGAATCTGAAGTACACTGTAAGTGGGAGGGTGTGTGTGATTTGCATATGACTATTTACTAGTTATGTTCAAAGTTGACAATGCTAGAACAGGGATTTCAAAGATAATAGGTTCATGGCTATCCCCCAGTCCTCTCTTGCCTTTCTCTCTCATGTAACAATTTAGTTAGTATTGTTTTCCCATTTGTAGATAGAGGCATCATGGTTGTATGTATCCTTCCAGAGTTGGTTCACAACTTACCTCCTCCAAAAGCATTCCTTGGTACTCACTAGCCCCTAGCTCTAGGTCTCTAGCCTCTAGCTCTCCAAAGTTTCGCCCAGGCAAAGCTCTTCTGTCTGTGGTCTGGGTTCTCACAACACCTGCAACAGATCTGTACCATGGCACTTAGTATATTCTTCATCAGTGGGATTTCTGTGTGTTTGTCTTCTCCCCAAAACTGTGGACTTTAGTATTCAGCTTTGAATTCCCAGTGCCTACCATAAGACTGGATATAGTAGATGTGTAATATTCATTGATTACAGGGATGAATGAATGAATGAATGTAGTGAAACAAGTATCTAAAGAATTAAGGGCAGGCTAATACTGAGTTAAACTCAGAGGTGCTAACATACATAACGAACTCTGAACGTGAGCTGCTATAATATTTCCTGAGTGTCTATACAATGTATTAGACAACATGAAAAATGCATGTGCCATTTCTCAGTGAGGCATTCTTAAAATCCCAAAGTTACAATGAATACATTTTTAGAAAATTTTACCTAGACTATAATAGAAATGTGCTGGAAGTAACTAACATTTGTGGGAGGAGCATGTATGTTGTTTTTCCTATTGTATGGATTGCACTGAGCCATCTTTGCCCTTGTAATCCCTTACAGGTTTGCAAAACATGTGGCCCAGGTAGGAAAATAGCTTGTTGCCAACAAAACAGGATTTTTCACAGCATAAAGCAAGCAGTCTCTACAGAGATAAGACATTTAACCTTGGCTTTATTAGCTTAGGGCTCCAATCAATAAACCTAAAACAGGGGTGGGCATATTGCTACTCACAAGTCAAACGTGAGTAAGCCCCTGCCTGTTTTGAGGGCCCTTGACTAAGAATGGTTGTTACAGTTTTAAGTGGTTGAAAAAGAATAAAAATAAAATAAATACGTTTGTGACATGAAAATTCCATGAAATTCAAATTTTTGTATTTTTAGTGAACACAGCCATGCCCATTCATTTACATATTGACTCACTGCAGTGACAGAGATTGGCCCCCAAAACGTAAAATAAAAATTTGTGTATGTGTATTGTGTATGTGTGTGTATCAATCATATTTATCTGGCCTAGAAGCAAAGGTCCTACAGGTCACTTGGCTAAAGGGACACAGATGGATAAAATGAACGATGCACGGTATTTGGAAATTCTGAAATTTGAAATTCTCAAAATGTGACCTTGGGCAATCACTTAATCTTTCTGAATGCTCACATCTTTTCATGTAAATGAGGATAATCCTTATTTACTTTTGGGGATTGTAAAGACTGGAGTTTTTGTTCTGGCAAAAAAAATAGGCTTCTAATAAATGGTTTTTGTTGTTGGTGGGGAAAAGAACAGGATTTTCTTAGGAGAAATCAAGGGTAAATTTACAGCCCATTTGGGGGGAGGTGGAGATAAGATTTTGAGGGAGTTCAAGAACCTGCAGTAACTCTCATTCACATTTCAACTCAAGCAAAAACTCTTCTGTATTTGTCACTGGCGCTCCAACATCTTATCTCTGTAGACCCCTCCCAACAAACTGCCCCAAGCTCCTCGACATCCCTGCCCCAGAAAAATAGATCTTCTTATTCCCAAACATACCAAACTCACTCTTCAAAGACTCTGAGCCTCTTTCCATGGCTAAGAATGCAATGCCATCCCTCTCACTCCAGCCCAGTTCCCAGTCATTCCTGGAGGACCTGTGGATGTCCCAGTGCATCAAGGAAATCTTCACCCTCATCCTTCATGGAGCACAGGTTGCAAGATAACCAGCATCTCCTCTGTGCTGAATGTGTCTAAGCAGGTCACAAGCTCTTTGAAGTAAAAGCCTGACCTCCTTTTTTGACCTCCCTGCTCCCTCCAGTACCCACTGTGGTTCTACAAACTAGGAACTCAAAAAACAGTTTGGTTGGTTAAGATATTTTGAACTGACAAAACACTTGCTCTTTCCTTCATTTTATAAGCTATACTTTTTGAGTATTTGTATTAATTCAGAATACAGTAAAAAATAGTAATAGAGAACATTGTCAACTATGGTTATAGACCTAAACAAACCTGCATTTTATGTTTCTTTTTAATATATCATATTCCCATTATTGTTTATTTTTGTTTTTTTTTTGACAAGTCTTTTTGATAAAACAACACCCCCTGCTTCCCCAAGAATTAAAAGAGAAAAAAAACCTCCTATCAAAAGACTGTTGACATCGTGCTTATCCTGTTTGAACGTTTTCATCCTGAGATTTTAAATGCAATCCATGTTAACTATTATAGCAAAAAAGAGCAAACGATACAGTTCCAGGGGAATTAAACCGGTGTAAGGCAGATTTATTTTAGTTCTTTACAGAGCAGCTGAGTTCTCCAGTTTCAATATTGTAATTTACTCTAAGGTGGGAAGCAGTTGAACACTGATGTCCAGCTCACCTTTGCCCCTTTACGGGGAGGCAGCTTCAGGTCAAGGCCAGGAGTAAGGACTGCCACAGGCTGAATTCTGGCTCTGGGATGCACTTGCTGTATAGCCCAGGGCAAGATGTTTACACCCTCTGGCCTCAGTTTCCTCAGCAGTGGGAGCAGAATCACACTCGTTCGTACCCCAGGGGTGTTAGAAGCATTAAAAAATTCTGAAGAATGTGGCAAGCTTAGGATTTGCTAAAAAGAAATACCTGCCCTAGATATTTCAAGAATGCTTTGCCCTGTTCCTGGGCCTTTTTTTTTTTTTTTTAACCAATAGACTATATTTTAGAGCAGTTTTGGATTTATAGAAAAGTTGAGTGGAAGGTACAGAAAGTTCCCCTCTACTCCCTCTCTACCTGCCCCTCCCCAGTGTCCCCTATTAGAAACATCTTGCATTGCTGTAGTACATCTTTTACAATTGATGAACCTGTTGTGATAACGCTATTATTAACTTATGGTCCAAGATTATATGAGGGTTTACTCTCTGTGCTGTCCAAATCATATATCCACCATTTCAGTTTCACTGCCCTAAAATCTCCTCTGCTCTACTAGTTCATCCTTCCTTTCCTTACCCCAAACTTCTGGCAACCACTGATCTTTTTACTTTTTCTTTGTCCTGCATTTTCCAGACTGTCATATGGAATCATATAGTCTGGAGACTTTTCAGATGGCTTCTTTCACTTAGTAATATGCTTTTAAGCATGTCTTTTTGTAACTTGAGAGCTCATTTCTCATTATTGCTGAACAATATTCCCTTGTATGGATGTACTGCAGTTTGTTGATCAATTTTTGGCAATTATGAATAAAACTGATATTAACATTCATGTGGAAATTTTGGGGTGGGCAGGAGTTTTCAACCCATTTGGGTAAATACCCAGGAGCTTGATTGCTGGATCTTTGTTCTTGGGCTTTCTATCACAAGCCTCTTTTCCTACTTATTCATCTTCCTCACTGTATCTTTGCCTGCTCAGGCTGCTATAACTGAAATATAATTGATTGAGTGGATTTGAAATAACAGACATTTATTTCTCACAGTTCTGGAATCAAGGAAGTTCAAGGTGCTGGCAGATTCGGTGTCTGATTCAGCTTCCTGGTTCAGAGACAGCTGCCTTTTCACTGGACCTCACATGGCCCAGTGGGGAGGGAACTCTCTAGGTTTTCTTTTCTTTTTTTTTTTTTAATTTTAGTTTATTATGTTTGTTAGTCACCATAAAATACATCATTAGTTTTTGATGTAGTGATCCACGATTCATTGTTTTTGCATAACACCCAGTGCTCCATGCAGTTTGTGCCCTTCTTAATACCCATCACCGGGCTAACCCATCCCCCCACCCCACCCCCCTAAAACCTTCAGTTTGTTTCTCAGAGTCCATAGTCTCTCATGGTTCATCTCTCCCTCCGACTTCCCCCCCTTCATTTTTCCCTTCCTTCTCCTAATCTCTAGGTTTTTTTCTTTAAAGATGCTAATCCCATTCATGAGGGCTCTACCCTTATGACTTAATCACCTCCCAGAGGCTCCACCTCTTAATAGCATCACATTAAGGGTTAGGACTTCAACATATGAATTAAGGAGACACAAATATGCAGTCCATAAGAAACTTCCTCTCTATCTTTCTCCCTCAGAATGACATTTAAAAAATTAAAGTGGGGGCACCTTGGTGGCTCAGTCGGTTAAGCGTCCGACTCTTGATTTTGGCTCAGGTCATGGGCTCAAACTCCATGTTGTGGAGCCTGCTTAAGATTTTCTCTCTCGGGCGCCTGGGTGGCTCAGTTGGTTAAGCGACTGCCTTCGGCTCAGGTCATGATCCTGGAGTCTCTGGATCGAGTCCCACATCGGGCTCCCTGCTCGGCAGGGAGTCTGCTTCTCCCTCTGACCCTCTCATGCTCTATCTCATTCTCTGTCTCAAATAAATAAATAAAATCTTTAAAAAAAAAAAAAAAAGATTTTCTCTCTCTCTGTCCCTCCCTCCCCATGTGTGTATGTGTGTATTCTCTCTCTCTAAAAAAAAAAATTAAAATGGTGCTTATTCATAATAAAAAATTAAAGTAATACAGAAAAAAATGCAAAAAAAATGTGAGATAATCCAAAATCTACTCCTACATATAACCACATTAATATTTGATGAGTGTCA